TTTTTTGTGTGTTGCTGATAACCAAACTTGGTCTTATGCATGCTAGGCAAGCAGTCTACCCCTGAGCTGAACCCCAGGATAGAATTTGTTATGTTGTTCAGGCTGACCTCAAATTCTTGGACCCAAGTAATCCTCCTTTCTCAGTCTCCCAAGTAACTGGACCTATTGGTGCATGTTACTTCATCCAGGCCTTTCAACTTTAAAGTGTATGTGTGTGTGTTCTTTAAAATTTTTATTTTATCTTATTTTACACATATGAGTGTTTTGCCTGCATATATGTCTGTACACCATTTGTGCCAGATCTCCTGGAACTGGAGTTACAGACAGTTATGAGCCATGATGTAGGTGCCAAGAATTGAACCTAGGTCCTCTGGAAGAGCAGCCAATGCTTTTAACCACTGAGCTGTATCTCTAGCCCCACTTCCAGCTTTTAATGTTTTTATGTTAATTTATTTTGGGGAAGTTTGGAGATGACTATGTTGCATACAGTATTCAGTAATAAGAGAAATGAAGAGATCCTTTTCATTTTATAATTGTCAGGGAGCTTTCTGGCAGTTTAGTACTCACTGGTGAAGGTACTCATTTTCTTTATAAACTCCCTATTTGGTGGGGCAATGTAATGATCTAGTGTGTCACTATTAGTACACAGGACATAAACAGTTGTGGAGCCTGCTTTGAAAGCTCAGTGAAACTTCAGCTTTCTGCTTTTAGGACTTCCAGCAAGTAACTTGTATGAAAGATCTGCTCCAGGCCTACTCAGTCCATTCTCACTTAGGATTAGCTCACCTAGTTGCATTTGAGCAGAGTCAAGCACTAAGCAGCATGGAGTGCTACTCTGGAGTTTGTCAGCAGCTTGTCCTGCATAGGCAGAGGTGCAGTGTGGGATCTGTGCTTACTTTACAGTGAGAAGTTATTCCTAATATCCTTTCTGCCAGTTAATATAACCGAATGAAAACTCAGAGAATGATAGTGATTTTTATAGGCACCCTGCAGTATGGTCTATTAACAGGGGCTTTTCAAAGGTAACTAACTGCTTTTTTAAAATACAGTGAAAATGTTAACTTATTTTCCCCAAAGGTTAAATTAACTCATGTCACAACATCTACACCAAGATATTTAAAGTGAATTATAGCTATTTTAACACTTCAATTTGCAATTTATTTTGAAAGTTGCTGGAGAACAGCAGCCACTTACTTGCTGATGCTTACTTACATATAGCTTATTAAAAACTCCCTCTGTTAGTGGTCTCCTTGCACAGCATTTATCACTGTTTATAATTTTATGTTCATAAAATATTTATA